CCGCCCATCGGGACAGCAGCTGCCGCCTGTGAGCTCGTTCTGCACACCAGGCTCTGAGCATAGTGCGTCCCGCGCACCCTCCCCACAGACACGCCCATCGCCCTGCCACTGCAAGTGAGCAGACTGCGGCCACCCCTGCACGGGTCAACATCCCGCATGTCGCCCGGGCTGGAGTCCACGGGAGGACGCTCTGTCCCTCCCCGACGTTCCCATCGCCCCTGCACCGGTGCCCAGGCTGGAAGCAGCTGGGAAGACCTAAGGAGACACCCAGAAGGGACGGAGAAGAAAGTGGAAGAAAACAGCTGGTCCCTTGAGATGTCCTCTCTGGTCCCTTAAGATACCCCATCTGAGCCTGACCACCAACGTGCTCCAGCCCAGTGGACATAAGTCATTTTCACCTTTGTGACCTGCCTCCTGCTCCCTGGACACCCTGAGATGAGAACCCAAGGCACTTGATGAGATTGGTCCAGAGAGGGAGAGCAACTCGACCAAGGTCACACAGCAGGAGGGGCTGGAGGAGGAAAGAGTGTTGGAAAGCAGGTTCCATAGCCAGCCAAGCCCTCAGAGGGGGAGGCAGAACTGCAGAAACTTTGTAGCATTCCCACTGCCTCCCAGGCTCGCTGAGAACAGTCTAAGACCCAGGATCTCAGAAAAACTTCAGGACGAGCTTGGGACGTCTCGTTCCGTGAAGCGCAGCGAGATGGCAGGAAGCCTCTCCCCAAGCTGTAGTTCTTGTCCAGGGAGGAAGGAGAAGGTGAACGTGGGGAGGGGAAGAGCTGGACACTCATCCCTTTGGCCTTGGTCGACCGAGGGAGGTGACGGCAAGTTCACTCAGACCTAGGACATGGCCTCCACCACGAGGTCATCAAACATTTATTAAGTGCCTACTGTATGTGAACCCCTGGGGCCAGGTACTGTAGAAAGAGTGTCTACCCTCCTCCCCCTGAAACACTACCATCTAGGGAGACAGAAGGATAACAAACAAAATTGCACAGTTCACTATTGAAGGATGAGCAGGACCAAGTCAGACGCCAAGGCCTAGGGAGTCAAGGAAGGCTTCTAAGGGAAGCTAGACTTGAGCTGAAAATGGAAGACCGGGCGTCCACAGGAAGGAAAGAGCTTCCAGGCACAAGAACAGCATGAGCAAAGGTCCTGGGGTAGGAAGGGCTTGGCTCATTGAGGAGATAAAACAGAAACTCGGCATGCCCACAGGGCCTGGCCAGGCAACATTTATGCCTTAGCCCCAGAGTGATGGGTTTCCAGCCAAGAAGTGTCATGATCTAAACTAAATTTCGGAAGTCTCTCCAGGGCTGAGAACAGAGTGGACCAAGAGGAGCAGAAGAGGCAGGAGACAGATGGCAGTG